TGGTTTATGAAAGAAGATGTGTTGGATTATTATAAACTGGAACTACTGGAAAACCAACAATAAAGCGAACAAATTCCAACAAAGTTAAATCAATCTCGGAACTCAACTAAATCCAGATATCTCTAATAGCTTTTTAACACAGGTTATTCTTCTTTGCAAGGTGATCTTGTCCTCTTACCGTGATCAAAGTCTCCATGGCGAGTGGCATTTCCTGGTGGAACGTGTTTTCCATTCAGATAGAGAGTTAAAAAAAACTCTTATTAATTCAGCATGTCTGTCTGGACTTCTCGGAAGCGTGTCCTTTACTGTTCCATAAAGGCAAAAGGCCGATGGATAATTTTCCACATGAGCCCAGTCATCTGGTTTCGTTCCCCCCATCCGCGCAGGAAATGTTTGGAGGCCAAACAAAAGAATCACATGGCGTCTCGTCCCCTTGACCACAGCCGGACCGACAGGTCCTGTCTTAAAAAGGAAAACAACAACAAATCCACTAACATGTCAGAGGTGCTTTAGAGAGCTGTAGTGGGTAACATATGGAGGGTCATTGAGAAAAGTCTGTCTGGGTTGAGTCTCTTAAGGCCTTAAAAGAATACAATAACAAACTGTTTTCAGTGTTGTACAGTATGTTATTGTATTTTGCAATGAATTATGGGAGCTGATGTCCATTCTTAATACATACATACATACATCATCTAAACCGCTTATCCTTCTGGGTCGCGGTGGGGTGCTGGAGCCTATCCCAGCTGTCATTGGGCGGAAGGCAGGATACACCCTGGACAGGTCGCCAGTCCATCGCAGGGCAGACAGACAGACATACATATACAAATCACACACACATTCACACCTAGGGTGGTTTAGCATGTCCAGTCAGCCTGACTGCATGTTTTTGGACTGTAGGAGGAAACCGGAGTACCCGGAGGAAACCCACGCAGACGCGGAGAGAACATGCAAACTCCACACGGAAACGACCCTGGTCGCCCGGCCGGGAATCGAACCCAGGCCATTCTTGCTGTGAGGCGACAGCACTACCCACTGTGCCACCATGCCGCCCCCCAGTCTTAATAGTACTGAACAAATTACAGTAGAGTTTCGGAAAAAATTAGGTATCCCAGGATTCCCTGAAGTCACTACAAAAGTAACATGAAAACTAAGGACAGTATTTCAGATCCTATAACTTTAACACGATGAACGAGATTTCATGAAAAGACTGTACAGTAAAGTGTAAATGCATTAGATGTATTAGAAAAGTGAGATAAGCCTGCTAGCCATGCAGTAGATTAGTATGGTTTTTATAGTGTGTGTGTATAACAGATGTCATTCGGTCAGTACACTGTTGTATATGTAGTGTTGTCTCAGGTTGGGCAGAAGAAGCCCAATGGGAAAGCGTTAGCTAGCTAACTAATAATGTTGGTGAGAAAGCCTAATGTTAGCTATAAGTTGGTTTGTGTTTAGATACTATACTGTTTCAAAATAAAAGGGTTAGAAAAAAAGTTAGCTTCACTTCCAACCTCATTATCTAGTTAGCTAGCTCGCAAACGCTAAACGAATGAACTTCTTTTCATTATGTTAGCACCACATACCTTCTCTGAAACAACTTAATTGAGCTAAACTTTTACCTAGCGGTGATGTGCGCTAGCCTAGCTCACCAGAGCCTCGACTAGCTAGGTAACTTAGGTAGCTGGCTAGCTAATTGGCTAACTTCTGCCAAAGGCTTCTTCCGCCGAAGCTGAGGTTTTGTCGAGCTCCAGAAAGCATACATATTGGTCCACTGGCTTGATAAGGTCAGCACCCTGCTGACTGTTTGCCACTGCTGGTCCACCCTCGGACCACCCAGATTACTGCAGTGCATACAAGATACCTAACTAGTTTTTAATCTCCTCAAACAAAGTTTAGATGTACATAGCCTTATTTTGGAAAATAAACTTAGACAAATATTAAAACAACCCAGAGAAAAAAATATTGACTAGGCCTGATATCATATGGTTTTGTTGAAAATGTTCTTGCTGTAAAACTGCTAGATTCTTTCTGATAACTAAAGGAAAAATAAGAAAACTGGGCCGTGAGTGGAAAATTAGCAATAAAATACGACTCTGCTTAACCACCAGTGGGCCGCTCGGCAAAAAGTCAGTGGGCCACCAGCTTTGTCATCAGTGGACCAACTGCGGCCCCCTGTCCTTCTGCTATCTGGGGCATGGGGCAGTGTTGCTGGGGCTTACTAGTTAGCAGAGCAAGATGTGGCCCCCAAAAGTATTTGGACATTTGTGTCAGACTTAAAAATGTATTACGTTTGTTGTGTTGAAAAAATAAATTGTCAAATCAAGTAGCAGAGCATTCCAAGACTGTAATTTCCTTTTAGGAAAAGTGTTCTTTCAAAAGGCGTCTGGTGTTTTTCAGATGATTATCGTTTGAGCACTTTCTTTCCAGACTTCTGCACGTTCACAGTCAAAATGCCTTTGTACACCACTGAGATCATGATCCCTTAAATGAACACATGCTCACTCACACCATTGTAAGAAAAACAGGTCTGAACTTTGACGTTTCCACCTCTGTGCTTTGCAGTAGCGTCTGGTTGAAATTCTTGCCCACACAAAGAGTCAATCATGGGATGCTGTGCTTTTTTTCTCTGATGCAAATATCGTTTCGTTAAACGTTTAATGAAGTAACTTAAACTTCATTAAGGTTTCACAATAATTTAATAGTTAAAGAGTCCAAGTGCTTTTGGTTCGTACCAGTGAGTTAACATCAGCTGTAGTTGTGTTCAGTAATTGACCTTCATTGCAGTTACTCTCATTTGTTGTATTTTCAGTGCCTTCTTCACTATAGTTTTATACTTACTGTACTCGCTAGCTGTAAGCAAATGTCCAGCATTACTGTAGATATACATCAACATACTGTGTTCACAATAGTTACTGAGATTTTAATGGTATGGAATTACAGTAAAATTACTGTAAAATACTGTAAATTTTACAACTTCTTTTTTTTTTTTTACAGTGTTTTATATTAATAATAAATGACCATTAGTGGTGATCTAGGTCCTGTTGTTGGATTCCTTGAGTAATTCCTCAAAACATACAACAATGGTTACTCGTAGGTGGCACTGAGGTTTCCTAGAGACACCACAGCCTTTCACCTTCATGGTAAACTAGAGGTCATTCTAAGTAAAAGCCATCATAACACAAATACAATGTGTTTTCTCTTTTTTAAAAAACTTGGCCCTGGCCTGGTCCTCCACAGCCAATACAGGCACAGCGAGTTTTGTAGTGCGTGTCTCAGGATATTCTTGCTTCCCTTGTGTTGTAGTTGGAGGTCCCTTGACAGACTGAACTGTTATGTCAAACAGGCCTGGATTCTTTCCACTTGGCTTCTGTTGACTCCATTGCCACAATCCTGGCTTGAAGAACCCGTTGATAGATCCCCAGCTATTTGCTCAGGGAAACTTGGAGTTTACTATTACTTACTATAACAAACCCTCAGAAACACACTGTTCTTGTCCATCCGTCCCTTTGTTTGAAGTACAGTGCAGTTAGAATTCAGATCACTTCTATTTAAAGGTGGGGCAATACGACAGAAGTCATCATGGGACAAGTCATTTTCATGATAAATTATATATATATATATATATATATATATATATATATATACACATATATATATATATATACACATATATCATAAGAAGTTGGAATGGGTAAAATGCACCAGCAAAATGTATGAGTACCATTCAGTGTTTGCAACAATGAACTATTTAAGTAGGAAAAATCAAACAGTTGTTAAAAACAAAGCAATGGGCTGACGGTTGCTTGTTACTATGCAGTTTATGCAGTTACTCTGGCTGTTGTTGTTTACAGGCTATAATTGGTTGATCTTTTTTATGATGTGGAGGTGCTTCGGTGTCCTAGAAGTAGTGATCATACTCACTCGGAAAAGCATATTGTGACATAAATTTTTATCACTACAATAATATATTGTCACCTCTAATAGTATGTAGAGTAGAGAGAGTTACATGCTGCTTATTCACTTTTCGAATTTACAAGTAGCCGCTTTCTGCAGGCCCTCTAATGACCATTCCACCAGTGGAAATCAATCAAAGATAATTTCAATGAACATAAATAAAATATTTTCCCTGTTGTTATCAGATTAACTAGCCATTATTGACTGCCTCACTGTATCTGACTGTTGAGCTGCTAGTGAGCAATGAGAAGATAAGGGGGGTGAGAACCCACACACATTTTCTAGGCCGCTTATCCTTCTGGGTCATGGAGGGAGCTGGAGCCTATCCTAGCGGTCAATGGCAGAAGGCAGGAAACACCCTGGACAGGCCGCCAGTCCATCACAGGGCAGACACACAGACATATACATTCACACACACACACATTCATACCTAGGGGCAATTTAGTGTATCCATTTGGCCTGACTGCATGTCTTTGGGCTGTGGGAGGAAACCGGAGCACCGGGAGGAAACCCACCCAGACACGGGGAGAACAGGCAAACTCCACAAATAAAGAACTCTGGTCGCCCAGCCAGGAATTGAACCCAGGCCCTTCTTGCTGTGAGGCGACAGCGCTGTCCACTGCGTGCCGCCCAGGGTGAGAACCCCCTCAAATGAAAACAATTCATACCTCTCCACAAAGATGGCTGTGTTGAGAGGCAGCTTTCTTTATTTCAAAAATCACGTGCAACTGCCACAATAAAAAATAGCAATTAAACACAATAAAACACTTTTATAAATGCTGACCTGCTCACTGATCTACAAAGACAGAAATCCAGTTCATATCCGCTTTTATAAATCATGCACGTTCCCATCAAAATATATCCCATAAATGTTCTTAGAGCAAAAACTGCATAGCTCTGAGGGACCTCCTTCAAAACAGCGAGAAACTGCATTTCATGGCTGTCTAAAGGGTCTCATTTGTGTCCATGTGTGCCTCCTCATTGCAAGTTAGGGGTCATTGTTGACTGCATCACAGTGATTTGACACATTTCTCTTCTCTTTGTTTCAGGACATAGACAGGCACCATTGTCCAGTCATAGAACAGACAAACCATGTCTGGATATTGGTTGACCTCATTTCTGTTACTGTCCACAACCTATGAGGTACAGTATGCCTAATCATTTTTGCAGTGTAAAAAAATAAAAAAAACATTTTTATTAACATTTTATTAACTAATCCTTACAGCTCTTCATAGTGGCCCTTTCAGTGGAGAATGACACACAAGAGAAGTCTAAGAATGATGGTCACGAAATGGACATCACCCAAAGCAAGATTGTAATGGCACAGTTTGAATGCTACCAGAAGATTGCAAAAGATCACTCTGATCACAGTCAAGCAGGTGAGAAATCCAGGAATCTTAATTCTGGTTGGATAGAGTCTTCTGGGTAGAACAGCTGCACAGTCTGTCATCAGATATTGTGCTAAAAGTGTTTTTTTTCCTCTTAAATATCATTTTGTTAAACAGTTTGTGATGTAGCTTAAAGAACTTCATACTTCAAGTTTACCAAAAGTTAAATGGGTAAAGTATCCAAGTACTTGTTGGGGTTACTTCAAGTGAACTGGATGTAACATAGTAGTTTATACCAGTGAGTAAACAACACCTGTAGTTGTGTACAGTAAAGTGCTGGCATCTGAACTGACCTTCAACAATAAATATTATTTGTTGGAATTTCACTTTTATGCCTACTTTACTATAATTTTATACTTTCTGTTAAGCTGTAAACACGTTTAGTATTACTGTAGATATAGCGGAACATACTGTGTGTTTACAATAGTTACTGTGATTTTAATGTTATGAAATTACAGTAAGGTTACTGTAAATTTTATAGGATTTTTACAGTATGTATGATAGTCATAGTAAATGACCCTTAAGATTTTTTGTGAGTTAAATGTTTAGATATATGGGAACATACTGTGTGTTTACAATAGTTACTGTGATTTTAATGTTATGAAATTACAGTAAGGTTACTGTAAATTTTATAGGATTTTTACAGTATGTATGATAGTCATAGTAAATGACCCTTAAGATTTTTAGTGAGTTTAATGTTTAGATATATGGGAACATACTGTGTGTTTACAATAGTTAGTGTTATTTTAATGTTATGTAATTGCGGCAAGATTACTGTAAATTTTATAGGATTTTTACAGTATGTAGGATGGTCATAGTAAATGCTTTTATGCCTATACTCTTTAGCTGTAAACACATGTCTAGTATTACTGTAGATATAGCGGATCATACTGTGTGTTTACAATTGTTACTGTGATTTTAATGTTATGGAATTACAGTAAGATTACTGTAAATAGCATTTTTACACTATGTTACACTATGAAAGTCATAGTAAATGACCATTAAGAGTTTTTAGTGAGTTAAATGTTTTTGTTACTGTCTTTTGCTGTACAAATGATATGTAATGACATAATGACGTAATTAAATACATGGTTAGTTTAGGGCACAATTTAGGAGACTTGGCCCTCTCTATTTTAGGGACTTGTTGACAGGCACACAAACTTTTGTCAGATGATTCTTTGCTTTTACGTGTAAACGGCAACTGACTCACTGGAATGTCATTGTATGTTGTGTTGGGTGTGTCCATAGGCATGCATTGTTCTTCTGCAAACACTCAGCTATATATTCCTGACACATGGCCTGGCTCCAACCGCTTCCAGGCAGAGATTTGTTTGACATCAGTTGTGAAGATTGTCAGTGCTTGTCTAGATTGAGCTTTGAGGCTTTCTGTCAGCAGCGAGCATAAATCAGGTTTATGTCTCCCATAAGCAGCACTTAAAGAAGACATAGCCAAGATGTGTATTTCAATGAGAGTACACTCTTAAATATAAAAGTTCCTAAATTGTTCTTGGCTCGGACACACAGTTCTAGGAATTTCAGTTTCTTTTTTACCCAGTTCTCCCCCCCAATTTAGCCATAGCCAGTTCCACCCGCTAACTAGGTCTCCCCCATCACACGATGCTACCAAGCTGTCAGGGTAAAAGTTACGGGCTTCCTCCAGCTTATCTTTTGGAACTGCTGCTAACCCAACATCGTTGGACAGCTCGACATGCTCTGTTATGTTAGCTCGTCTGTGCTGGCTAGTGTTGTGCTGATTGATAGGGGAGGTGGCCATCCTACCCACCCAGAGAGAGCGAAGACAGTTATCCTCTCTTGGACTTCCGGCTGTGGAAAGCTGTGGCATCACTGGCGTAAAAGAAATTGACATGCGGGTCAACTTTCAACACTTTAAAAGTCACCGTACAAACGCTTATTCCACAGTATGATATTTACATTTCCACGTTTAGCCTGGAATTTCAGTTAGCGTTCATTAGATATACAGGATAAAATGGCCAATGAGAAGTAGAGGCCAGGTACAGGCCTACCTAATAAATTGTCAGCTCAGTGCCTTCTCACTCAATGTAGTGTCTTACTATTGTATATTGCTAGCAAACATGAGTGCCTTACCATATCCACAGACACGACTGAGAAGTCTGAAGGAACTTTGTACGGCTAACCATGATAGCTGAAGGTATCTGTCAACTGTTTGTGTTACACCAGGAATTTAGCTCACAATCTCCTGATGAAGGGCCAGTATTTAGACCACATGTGCCAGGCTCCAGTCTTCGCAGGCCAAAACCCTGAAGACTTCAGCACACCTCATTAAACACACCTGATTCAGCTTTTCAGTTAATTAGCATGGCCTTCTTGAACTGAATTCAGGGTGTTAGATTAGGGTAAATGCTAATATCTGCAGCACTTTGGCCTAGAAGGTCCCCAGTTTGACATGCCTGATTTAGACTTCTGAGCCTCAGTTCGACTAAGATTAAGTGACCTTTATCAGTCCCACAACAAGGAAATTTCACCTCCGCATTTAACCCATCCGTGCAGTGAAACACCACAAACACACTAGTGAACGCACACACACACTAGGGGAAGTGAGCACACTTGTTCGGAGCGGTGGGCAGCCCTATCCACAGCACCCAGGGAGCAGTTGGGGGTTAGGTGCCTTGCTTAAGGGCACTTCTGGTCACAGGGCTGGGGTTCCCTAACCTTGAGCCCATGACTGCCCCAGTTGGTACAGAGCTTCACATTATACGGATGCATTTTAAACTTTAAAGATTCTTCACACTCACAAGTTCATTTACAAAAACACTTAGTGTTTTCTGCTCTTATATATGCTTTAGTTGGATGGGCTGGTAAATGAGCTGAATAATTGTTTCAGGTGTGCTAGAGCAGAAGAACCACCATAATATGCAGGGCAGGGGGTTCAACACCAGGAGTGGGAACCAGAGTTCACAGGCAATAAAACACCGACCAAAACACCATCTTTGGCACCTTTATTAAGAGTGTAGTTGGATTGCATTGTAAAAATGTTGAACGTATGTCTATTAATGTCTGTTTGAAGCACTTAGAGGTGCTTTAAGTTGTCAACTTGGGAACAGTTACTTGTTCATCTGTAATGCATTCTGTAGCACTTTATTTTGAGAGTCCACTGTAGATGCTTTGTAGATACTCACCTCGTTTCTAAGTAACATTAAACCAAAGATCTATTAGATGCGACTAAACTTTTGATTGTAATGAATTCTACTGAATAGATATCCATAAACCTAAGCCTAACCCTAACTTCCAATCAAAGCCTAAACCCCAACCCTTATCCTAACGTAGAAGAGATCATTTGTGAAGAAGTTGAGCACCTGTAGATAATCTGTAAGATCTGTAAGGGACTATCGAAGTAAAGTGTGCTAAGAAATTCCTGCTATGTTTTTTTCCTATCAGTAGCGAGCAGTGAATCCAATATGGTAACTCTTGTGCTGTGTGTTGCCACAGGGGTGCTGTCGTGTAACCGCACATGGGATGGTTGGCTGTGCTGGGATTACGTAGAGACTGGAGTCACCGCAACTCAACACTGCCCAGATTACTTCCATGACTTTGACACCTCAGGTATGTTTTCGCTCCCACTTCAAATGCAAGTTGCACTGCAGTCTCACAGTTAAATAAATAAATAAATAAATAAATGTACCTTAGATATTAATTAATAAGTATTATGCATTATTTGAGTTGGCATCATGAGCTAAATATAAACATAATCATCATTTATAGGATATTTTATATTCCCAAAACCCTCAACCCCTAAATTTCACCTTGTAAAAAAAAGTTTTAATTTTTTTTTTCCAATTTCTTTTTTTAAGGATTTTTTTATTTCTTTTAAAATAAAGTTGAAAGATTTAATATTTAAATTAGAAAAGTTCAAAAAAGGCTGTTCCCCATTTCCATGTCTCTACTGAAACACAAAGCATAGAGCAGGAAGTGAGGCTGCATTCCTGTTAGAGCCCACAAAGAAATGTGTCCCGAAGTCTGAAAATGAGTGTATAACATTAAGAATTATCACTACTGAAACTCATTTTTCTGCACTTAAGTAAACATTTTTGTGTTTCAATGAAAAATATGATAACTTCATGTGTGTACAGCTGTTCAAAGCTGTATTTGTTTATCATGTACAGAACTTTTTAAGTTCTGCTCAAAATGAGCTAAAATTGTCACCACCGAAACAGTCACTACTGAAACATTTGATAAAGTTTCGGTAGTGTTAGTATTGTTTTGGTAGTGAAAAACGTGATTGTTCAATCATTTAGTTTAATAAACACAGTTAAGTTATAGGGTCACTCAAAGCAAATAGATTTTAGTCCAAATTCCAAAAGAGTTAAAAGTCCAACAAGTGTTTTCAACTCTGACTGGACGAGATCGGAGGAGTGAACCATATATCATGTACTACATAGACATGTACATGTGGTTGCCGTGGACACTGCTTCACAAAACTTTGAGGACACCTTTCTAAACATATTTCAAATAATTGAGTAGATTTTCTTTACCAGTTTGCAACAAATAGATTTGCCATTTTTCTTTGAAAAAACCTGCAAAACTGAAGGAACAATAGACTGAAGTACTGCCTGACAAACAATTCATATTTTATCCCCTTGTTTATATCAGCACTTTCAGAAGTATAAACATCTTTGGAGTAGACAGGTTTTAGTTTATGCTTTTAACAGGAGTTTGGAAAAGACTTTCTATTTAGGCAAAACCTGCTGTTCATACCAAAGAAAAGATTTTTTCAAATAAAATTGCAAGTGTTTTTCTTACTTAACGTAAAAGTAACAGCGAAAACATTACGCTGTTCATTTCAAAAGAAGGCAAAGTGTCCACAAACCATTCCTGAGCAGTGTGGGTGAAAGTACAGTCGTGTGCGAAAGTTTGGGTGCTCCTGGTCAAATGACTTGTTTTGTTGTTTTTCTAAGTGAAAATAAGTGAACACACCCTCTGCAGAGAACACACACATTTTAATGTACACTGTTTATTTTCTGAATTTAACATACTGAACCCTGGGGTGGGCCGAGCGCCAAAACACGTCTGTGCTTAAATCTTTGAATTATATGTGCTGTCTACACTTCATGTTGGAAAAAAATATAAAATGTAGCTCTTTCAAAGGTAATGGCATATTAACTATGTGATGTCATTTTTTCCAATAAGTTAAAATCAGCAAATAAATAGAAAGTGTTCACTAAAGTAAAACAAAAGCCATAAATAAATTTATGCCAACCCACCTACAGACAAGCTCATGTCATGGATTTGCATGTAACTAAAACCAAGCAAAATTCCTGTTTAATTCACGCAACTGTGCAAAATTTCCAAATCAAGCTCCAAACACTTTCTCAGTTAGCTTTTATAGTCGGCACCTGTAACTGTCCTTTGCTGTGGAATTACAGAGGAGGGATGTATCGATGTTGGAATTCTAGGCCAATGCTGATGGCCGATATTTTTCATGTACGTAAAGTTCTATATGAAAGTTTGAGCATTCTTGGTCACATTAGATGTTTAGTTGATTTTCTGAAGTGAAAATAAGTGAACACATCCTTAACACACTTAAATGTGGAATTTTTTCTGCAAATTTCAATGCACAATTTCCATTTATTCCATGAATGTAACATATTAGAAAAATATAAAGCAAAAAATATTAAATATTCCATAACTTTTGCACAGGCTATTTTTTGGTTTCCAAATGTGTTAAATTCAGCAAATAAACAGTAATTATGCAGTAAAATGCAGAAAAATGTGTTCACTTATTTTCGCTTAGAAAAGCAACAAAACATCATTGGTGTGCAAACTTTTGCATACATCTGTATCTGCTGGTACAGGTACATAAACATTTCTGAAATATAGAATTTAGGACTAAATCCACCTGGATTATCATTACAAAGGAATAAAACTCAGGCTATAACTCAGCATCACATCAACATTAAATTCTCCTGGAGTACAAAAAATATGTATTTAATTATTGGTTTAATATGAGTTTGATTTAAACATCTGGGTCATTCTACAGAAACGTCCACTTTCTATCTATCCATAGGAGTCACTGGTGTTACTGATCATCATTGGTGTTACACAAGAAAGGTAACACCAGAGACATTTTTAATGAAAAGTGCTTTTTTTTTTACAAAATGGCTGCTACAGAGCATCAAACCACAAGTTGTCAATCATGGAATATCCACTAAATTATGTAATTTAATCCATTTTTATTCTGTTTTGTCACAATTACCTAAGAATAAAGTCGGTCACACCAGTGACTTCAGCTAAAAGCTTCATATGAAATCATGAGATAAATGAGAAAATCTCTGATAACTGAAAGACACAGTGGACTCAGCATGTGCTTTTCTTCATAGATCCTCAGAAAACAGGTAAAAGGAAGTCAAGTGATGTCATCAGTGTGATTTTTTTTTCAAAATAACAGGCTTTTTGTTACGCAGTAACACCAGTGACACGACTCCTGGGGACAACTTACAACGACAGTAATTGTTTTTATTTTAAAATATTTTTGTTTTTGAAATGTAATATATCTGTAAATGCTAGGGACACAAAAATGGACATTTCCATAGAGGGTCTTATCTGTTTAATGATGTCTTTAAACAGCTATGTGCCAATACTATTTAATTCCAATATGCATTCCTACTACAGAGCATTACAGCCTTGATCGAGGATTTCTCTTTATTGTTTTCTGAGATATATACTGTTTTTGTTTAGCGGTGGCAACGAAGATCTGCACGGAGGATGGCCATTGGTTCGTCCACCCTGAGAGCAACAGAACATGGACCAATTACACAAGCTGTTCAACACAGCTCAACACCGAACACGGCAAGGTGAGCTAGAATCTGAAATGTTCTAAAACTGCTGTGAGGTCATCATAAAAAAGACAAAGATACACAGCACATATCAGCTTTATATGAGGCTTCAGATTTGAGGACACATGCTAAACGTCTGACTGCATTGTTTGTTTGTTGTTTTTTTCCTTTAGACGGCGCTGAACCTCTACTATTTGATTCTTATTGGTCATGGATTGTCTTTGATATCTTTGTCTGCTTCTCTGGCAATATTTTTCCATTTCAAGTAAGTCAACTGTAACGCCACTACATTTTAATTGTGCACTGTTTGTACCGATAACTAGTGATGTTGCTCCATGTGGACTGATTTATTTGCTTTACCCACAGGAGCTTAAGTTGCCAGAGGATTACACTCCACAAGAACCTTTTCTCCTCCTTCGTCTTATTTTCAATTGTAACCATCATTTGGTTCAGCGCTGTTGTCAACAATGACAAGTTAATACAAGCAAACCCAGTGAGTAGTCCACTTTTTCTAAGGGATAGTGTTATTATATGTTACTAATCTGAACCAAGGACCTAGAACGTAGAATCTGTACCCTGGTCCTTAACCCATCACATAATAGCCATGTTTACATGCAGCCTAATAATCCATTAATAATCCGACTAATAGTTCAATCGGAATAGAATATGTCCATGTAAACACCTCAGTTGGAATAGACTAATCAGATTGGGGCCATTCGGAATACAGTTTCTATCCAATTGAGCGAGGTGGGTAATCCTGTAAATAATCAGTTAAATAGAAAAATAATAGCTGTGCAAACGCCTGTATCTGATTACATTCCCTATCTGTTTAAGTACGTTCTGATCATGTTCGTTGCGTCATAGTAAAAGTTTATAACGTTCAACATGGCGTCTGCAGAGGAGACGAAGTATATGCTCTGATCTTTAAAAGACGGTGGTGGGACGGGCGTCCAGCTTATGTGTCTCAGAACACGACGTCTTCCTCTCGGCCTTCTTTAATAAGGACATGTGAAGGATGTTTTCCTGAGTCTGACATCATTTTAAAGTAATTAAAAACACAAGTGCTGCTCACTGCTGCTCGTCTCACTCTGACTGGACTTGTCATGGTAACGTCTACACTAAGTGGTTCTCTGCACATGCGTATAATGTCGGAAAATGTCTGGTGTGAATGTAAACGGAGATTTTCCATCAGATTGTTGAGTAGAGTGCCTATAAACACCTTAATCTATCAGCTTAAAGAACTATTTTTTTAGTTAAAAGTATTGAAAGATGTCCAGAGTTAAGTAATTACTGCTATATATGTATATATACACTGATCAGGCATAACATTGTGACCACCTCCTTGTTTCTACGCTCATTGTCCATTTTATCAGCTCCACTTACTATATAGGTGCACTTTGTAGTTCTACAGTTACAGACTGTAGTCCATCTGTTTCTCTGCATACTTTGTTAGCCCCCTTTTACCCTGTACTTCAGTGGTCAGGACCCCCGTGGACCCTCACAGAGCAAGTACTATTTGGGTGGTGGATCATTCTCAGGACTGCAGTAACACTGATGTGGTGGTGGTGTGTTAGTGTATGTCGTGCTGGTATGAGTGGATCAGACACAGCAGTGCTCCTGGAGTTTATTTTAACAACTGTGTCCACTCACTGTCCACTCTGTTAGACACTCCTACCTTGTCACTCCACCTTGTAGATGTAAAGTCAGAGACGACAGCTCATCTGCTGCTGCAGTTTGTGTTGATCATCCTCTAGTCCTTCATTAGTGGTCACAGGACGCTGCCCACAGGACGCTGCTGGCTGGATATTTTTGGTGGGTGGACTATTCTCTGTCCAGCAGTGACACTGAGGTGTTTAAAAACTCCAGCACTGCTGTGTCTGATCCACTCAGACCAGCGCAACACACACTAACATACCACCACCACGTCAGTGTTACTGCAGTCCTGAGAATGATCCACCACCCACTACCTGCTCTGTGAGGGTCCATGGGGTGGTCCTGACCACTGAAGAACAGGGTAAAAGGGGGCTAACAAAGTATGCAGAGAAACAGATGGACTACAGTCTGTAACTGTAGAACTACAAAGTGCACCTATATAGTAAGTGGAGCTGATAAAATGGACAATGAGCGTAGAAACAAGGAGGTGGTCATAATGTTATGCCTGATCGGTGTATATATAAATAGTGTGCCATAACTTTCACATAGGTCACCTTTTATGTTTCCCTAGTATGTTAATTACTGCGACTGAACAGTAATTCACTTAGAAAATTAGCAAATTATCATGTCATTTAACCAGGGGTGCCCAAACTTTTGCATATGACTCATACTCGCTTGTGCCTGTTTTCTCTTCCAGGTGAGCTGTAAGGTGGCCACGTTCATCCATCACTATATTCTGGGCTGTATGTACTTCTGGATGCTGTGTGAGGGGATCTACCTACACACGCTCATTGTGGTGGCTGTGTTTGCTGAGAAGCAGCACCTGATGTGGTACTACCTGCTGGGCTGGGGTGCGTTCATCATGTCTCACTGTTACTGCGATTTTTTTGCCTCTGCTTATCTATGATTGCCAGTTTCAGACACAAATTGATGACGATGTGACTGAGCATTTGTTTCTGTCAAACGTTTTCCAGGATTTCCTCTCATTCCGGCTTTGATACATGCTGCAGCCAGAAGTTATTACTACAACGACAAGTAAGTTTATGCACTATTGAAACTCACTGAAACCACAAAAGAAGCTGTTGATGTCATTAATACACAGTCGCCCTGTGTTATTGCACTGAGAGGAGTGTAACAATGTGAAAATCTGCATCTTGTTTTCTCCTCGCTGCAGTTGTTGGATCAGTTCAGACACGTCTCTGCTTTATATTATCCATGGGCCTATTTGTGCTGCTTTACTGGTGAGTGCTCTCTCTCTCTTTCCCTCCTTTCACCAGCATGTGCTTTTTTGCCTCTGTGTTTGGACTGGAAATCTAATTTGAATTGTTTAGTTAGCCGTTCTGTGTAGAATTAACAGAGAACACCTTGATTTTATGGAACTGTTCCACCAGCAAGTTCGCTGATTAGATCTCTTTCCCACGTTCTGTGATCTTAATTGAGTTTTTCTGATGCTGGTGTTGCCGCTTGCATTGTAATCAGTGCACACAAACTGAGCTAAAGCAGCTTTCTTTCCTTGCCCCCTTCCATTAATAACAGACAAGCTTGTAGTTATTATGATTTAAAATGCATGGCTCCTAGAAGTAGAACAATTCACATAATTTAAAATTCGGTCTGAGACATCTTTCAATGCAGCACAAATAAGGAGTGGCTGAAAATGTGTCTTGATGTTTCCATTTTCAGTTAATTACAGCATTCAACATTACAAAACTGCAATATGTAAAGCAAATGTTATGCTTTATACTGTGCCGCACAAGTGCTCTAGCTCAGGGGTCGGCAAGATGCGGCTCTTTTACTGCCCTGTTGTGGCTCCACAGCAGAGCTAGATTTGTAGGTAAAAAATAAAATAATCCTCCTTTACAGTAAAATAAAGCTCTGCTGGTCATTCAACACAGTTTAACAATAAATGGTGTTAAACACTGGAGTTAATGTAGAACTGCTAATTCACCATTTAACCCTGAAGACTGGCATGCAGGCTGCTGATCACCTTAGCAACGCAGACATCTTGCCTAGCTGGTAGCTAACGAAAAGACAAAGAGAAAGCTGGTTTCCTGTTACGTTAAATCTGCAATGAGAAACTGTCAAACACTAAAACATCACGAAGCTGAAGTCAGCCTTTCGTTCGCCGGCTTCTCGTTTGAATTTTCTCCTGCATTTAAGGTGGAATTTTAAAAAGAAGCTGCAAGTGAGAAGCTGACATTTTACATTAAACTATTCTACTTTTGGAAAAAGTTTCCTGCCGTAAATGCAAGAAAAGCAGCTATAGTTGAGCTTAAAGCAGAGAAAAGTAAGTCTGCGTTTTTTCGTTTATATTATATATTTTAGCGGGGCGGCACCGTGGTACAGTGGGTAGCGCTGCCACCTCACAGCAAGAAGGGCCTGGGTTCGATTCCCGGCCGGGCGACCAGGGTCGTTTCTGTGTGATGTTTACATGTTCTCCCCCGTGTCTGCGTGGGTTTCCTCCGTGTTCTGTGGTTTCCTCCTACAGTCCAAAAACATGCAGTCAGGTCGATTGGACATGCTAAATTGCCCCTAAGTGTGAGTGTGTGTGAATGTGTATGTCTGTGTGTCTGTCCTGTGATGCACTGGCGACCTGTCCAGGGTGTATCCTGCCTTCTGCCCAGTGTCAGCTGGGATAGGCTCCAGCACCCCACAGCGACCCAGAAGGATAAGCGGTTCAGATGGGGTGTGTGTGTGTGTTAGCATATACTAGCACATCAGCACATACTGAGACATATTTACAGCCAAGATGTTAAAATGGACACAAAATGTTGTGGCCCCCAAGGTGGTTTGAGAGTAAGACGCAGTGGTAGCCATGGCTTTGGCTACACACTTCTCCGTGACGGCGACCCAGGGGCCAGTATAACATCTACACATAACTTGGACTAATAGACAACATTACCAACACAAACAGTGCCTTTGTTGGAGGGTGCGCACATACCATTAGCCTTTACGTGAGACCATTTGCATAACCACACTTCCAGAGTCTCCTAAAGCCAGCGCCAACCAGTAGCAGGTCACTACAATATGTTAACCCCAAGCTAACACACTAGCCTAGAGTTAACATGCAAGTCACGATGCAAAGATACGGTGTGTTGTACTATTTCCTTCATAGCTCCAGTCGCTTCTTTGTGCTGGTGCATCTACACCAGGAATACAGTTCTCATCCAGCCCTTCAGATGAATGTGGAATCCATGTTCTAAATTAAAATCAATCTGAGGATCATTTACAAAATAACGATTGACACGTCACTCAACCAATCACAAACATCTTTAAGCGCTACTTTTTCCAACAAATGAATTTAAAAATCCGCCCTAACTCTTCAGAAGAAGCCTGGAGTGAATGATTCTGCCGGTAAATCAGTCGCAATTAAGCTAAGAGACGTGAAAAGGTGAAACTGAGAAACGTGTAATTCAGACACTAATCATCTGTAGGTGGCGCTGTTTTTATTCCATTCTTGAAGCTGAAGGAGTTTTGGGTTAAACTGTGAGGCAGACCAAACTCAGAGCTCAGTGCCAAACTATGAAATCATTTTAATATGATGTCTAACAATAAATAATAGCAGATTAATGTTAAGTTAGCTAACTTAGCTTTTCTTGGTTTACCTGCTGACACTGATGAGCCCTCTAGGCACTGCTTTAAATGTTCGAACCCTGTCTCTTCTTTATCTCTGGTTTTCTCAGGTGAATCTGTTCTTCCTCCTCAACATCGTCAGAGTATTAATAACCAAGCTGAAAGTGACCCACCAGGCGGAGTCCAGCCTCTACATGAAGGCTGTGAGAGCCACCCTGATCTTGGTGCCTCTCCTGGGCATCCAGTTTGTCCTATTGTCCTACAAACCCGCAGGACGACTCTCCTTTGAAATCTACGAGTATGTGATGCACATCCTGATGCATTACCAGGTGAGAACTGCTGGAGAGCAGCAGGAGAGCGCCGACAGACATGTCGGAAATGTTGTTTGTTTTCCTGTGTTATGTTTTACACCAGAGAGGACAATAATGTATCGTCGTTGCATTGTGTAGAGTACATTAACTAAAGCCGAAATGAAGCACTGTGAACCAGTCTCAGTACCAGAGGCCTTGAGCCCGAGTGCTAAAGGTGTGTTGATTTTAATGTAGTGTCAACACATTGAAAAGATGAACGTTCGAAACAGTGTGTCAGAAATGAAAACTGTATCGACAGGATGCCCCTCAGTCTCTCCTGATGGTCTCTCATTTGCTGTCTTTTTTTGGAAACCGCTGTTGACGATGACAACTAGGCAATTTTAAGTCACTAATAAATTCTAGAGTTTATGTGTTGAGTCAAGAAATTTTAATATATATTTAAAATGGAATCAAATCTTGAATTCAGAATCCAAAGTCATTCTGAATATGTCCCTTTAAACCCCTACTTCATGCAGAATTTTAGTTCAGAATTAAGTGTCACAGAGTGCAAGAGTAAGACAAAGGTTTTGTTTGTCCTTCCACCATCAGATGTCATTTTCCTGAGTTCAGAAACAGGTTGCTTTAATCAAAAAGCAGACAAATCGGTCTGCTCTGGTCTGGGTACCAGATACCTTGAGTTGTACAAGGCTCTCATTGTTTGCTCATCAGCAGAACCTTCACGGCTGCCCCTATTGTCCTTCCCTCATATAAGCCTCTGTAGCAAGTCAACTTTATTACACCTCTTATAGATAGTAAAGGATAAATTTCAGTCTGTCCTTATCAACGTATGTTGGAGTCAGGCCATCATCTCAATAAAAGAGATTCAGAACTTTAGGTTAAATTTGCTGAATTACAAAACATGTAAAAAGCATGTAATTGCCTCAGTAATGGCCTATCTTGTTTTTTTTTATTTGAATTTAGCCTTTAATTTAATCCATTAAGGACATAAGCACTGGCAAGCACTGCAAGACACTTGTAAGAAAGAAAGGGAAAGAAAGGGGTCACAATAAACACACACTTACCACACACACACACACACACACACACACACACACATACACACACACACACACATACAAATAAATAAATTTATGAACTAAACTGAATTAAGGTAGGGGATTGTATCATTACGCGTAGATCCTTTGTTAATTATCTTGGATATTTTTAGATGAAAGTTTGTTGTGTTTTAATTTAAGTTTGTTGTGTTTTAATTTAAGTTTAATTGAAGTACTTAACTGCTTAACTACTAAGTTCCTTGCCAGACAGACACAGTTCCTGGACAGGGATTGTTTGATGCTGTTGGCATTAAGTTTGTTTAAGTGGCATTTTGATAATGCCAGTAACTTCTAGATGGTTGATTTGTCAAAGGCCTGGGAAAAGAAATGACAGATATCACTGAATAAATTACATTTGATGTACATTGGGGTTACATCCCTGGGAACAAATTGGTAGAAGTCAATTTCAAGACCTTAACTGTGGAACTTAGAGCAGCACAGCTTAAGCTAAATATGATACTGTTTTTAACAGTTAGTGAAAGACACATTTGCAATACAAGACATATTACTGCAGCTTATTTTAGTTTGATTTAATAAGATGATTTTTAAGAGGTCTTTTTTCAATATTCTGGAATATGTGAGTAGAAAAGCCTGCTTAGTAAGACCAGTGGTACATCTAATCCTGTTAGTTTCAGTAAGAAAATAAAGACCTGGTTGCTGTATAAAGTACCTGATTGATTTTTATCTTCTTGACTGTTTGGATGTATGCAAAATGTATTGGATGCTGCTTGTTGGTAATGTAAATTGCAGCATCTTTGCTGTTATATATCAAGGACCACAATGGAAATAAGTCTTAGACTTTATTGTGTTGTCCTTGACAAAGGAGTTGAGCAGTATCCCCAGAATTTAAGGCTAATCAACAGTCCATACTTTGATCTGTAGATGATCTACATTATCTTATCTCTGTACTGTTTTCTCCCACGCTTTAGGGTCTCCTGGTGGCCACAATCTTCTGCTTCTTCAATGGGGAGGTGAGTCATTGTGCTGGTACACTTCAGCAAATTTTAGGCAAAGTTGAACTCAGTTTTCATGGATTTTAAGTCATGCAAACATGTATCATCATTTTCTCTGCTGAGGTGCCAGTTTATTTTTTAAGACATCATCACATGGGCATAAACAGCTGACTGGACCAAAACTTGTATCTCTCTCTGGCCTCTAGGTCCAAGGTGTGTTACGGCGGCACTGGAACCAGTACCGCATGCAGTTTGGTGGCACCTTCTCCAATCACGAAGCCCTGCGCTCTGCATCCTACACCGCCTCCTCCATGACGGAGGTGCATCGTTGCTACAGCATCGACGGACACATGGAGACACTGAACGGAAAGAGCTTCCACAACATGGAGGCCACCATCCTTCGATCAGATAACCTGTACATGTGAAAAGGCCACTGATGTGAGCATTTAACTCAGAGGACCTGACTACAAGACTTAAGGTTCAAATGTTCCCACTGGGATCTATTTTGACTGGACCTTGAAGTCCTTTCGGGACCAAGAAAGGGCCATTGAAAAAGGCTTTTAAACAACACCACTCTCCTTGATTTCTTAAGGAGGATAGGATTCTTAATCACGTGGAGTACAGAGGAAAGCTAGCACATACATTACTGCGTCCTTCAACCAGTTAACTCTGAAAGCACCATCCAATGGTTGTGTCTTCCAGCCTTAAACAGGACAGCGTTTGGGATTAGCAACCAGCAAGAGTCTTTAAACGAATTAATGTGGATTAATGTGGATCACTCTGGCATTGAAAAGAAAGTTCTATGAGATTCCAAAACTGGTTTCTGTACTGAGGGTGTGTTGATTGTGAAACCCCATCTGTTCTTTGTTGTTTCCGCACGTGTTGGCTTGAAATGCAATGTTTCTGAAAAGTGGACTTTATACTCTAAATCGAGACAAAGACAAACCACAGCAAGGAAAAAATGTATTTATGGAATGTCCCGATGCAAAGCTGTTATGTCTTAAGCTCTGTATGCTAGGCGCAGGGAAAACCCACAACATCCGAATGGTAATGAAAAGGAATGTCCAAGGATCAAATTCAAAAGAATTCCAAGCGTTATTGGATAACTGTGATTTGGACTCCACATGGAGTTGTGTCTTTAGCAATGACTACTTATGGAGAGTCTTGAAAATGGATAATACTGACAATATAGAAACCGAATATTCATTATTTCCTGAGGTTTGTCGGACCTGTATAGATCAAAAATAACTCCACCACAGTTGGCCATTCCGCATAATCTTGTCCTCAATACAGTTCCGAGTCTGGCTGTACCCTAAAGGGAACAGTTACTTCTCTCACTTCACTGATTTTACAGTCAGCATACATGAGTTTACAGTAAGGTCTTTAGAAGACAGGTTCTAAATGGAGATCTCATTCAGTGTGTCCTTATGTCTGGAACATACAGGCGCTTTTGATGGTTTCTCACGTTTCTCTTTTAGGGCATTTCAGTCTAATGTTCATATGCTGGAAAGGAAACTACTCACACTTGGAAAATGTAAATATATTTCTCGTTCTAGGTGTGTAATGGATGTCGGATGTCTGTGTGAGTACAATGTTTGTATATTTATAAAGGCATAATATGCTCACTGTCAATATTCGTCGACATATTTTATGTGTAGGCATTATTAATGGAAAAAGATTCTTAATACATTTTGATCAGCTGGTTTACTCTTTACTGATGTCAGAAAGTGCAGGTCGTGATGGGATAGTACATTGAAATTGTCTCCTCGCTCATGTTCAGATGCATGTTGAAAACATTGTGTCAATGTTGCAGTTTCCTTTGTGCCAAATTGTACTTTGGTATAACCTTTTAAGTTATTGTACTTAAAGACAAATATATCATAGGTCTTGAACAAGTTGCAGTCCTCCTGAGTATTTTTGGGTGAACTTGTTTTTAAGAACCTGAAAACAGACGTGTAAAAATATGTTTAGAGAAGCTGCCAGTGGGTCCATTTCAGTGACAGGAACAAAAACAGCTCACGTATCATGTGTTTGGTGGAAATCCACCTGGTTAGCTGCATTTGATACCTCCCAGAGCTAGTCGATCTGGAGCGCAGGCTCCAGCTTTTAAGAAAAAAGATCAGAAATTAAATCAAATATTTGAAGTAAATCAAAGAAGTATGTGCTGCCTTTGCTTTTTACTATGATGTTTGGGATTAGCATCTCTGAGGAGAAGTAACAGAGCTGTACTGGGCGGGACCAGTGGTCAAACGAGGCTTTGCTATTTGACCCTGATTAGATTTGAAGAAATCTTCATGGCTGTAAAATCACGAACACGCAACATTACATAAAAATTGGTACAGATGGGAAACAAATGAAAGGAAAAATCAACAGAAAAAAATCTTAGTAATGTGTTGAGTCACGCTGAGCCACTAGAACAGCTTCACTGCGCCTTGGCATGGATTCTGCAAACCACTGGAGGGATGGAACGCCGTAATTCCAAAAGATTCGCAGCTGGTGTTTTAAACACGTCCAAAATCCCTCCTAGGTTTTAAACTGTGTTTAGATCTGGTGACTGTGATGGCCATTGCATATGATTTATGTCATGTTCATACTCACTGAATCATTCAGTGACCCCTCGTGTCCTCTGGACGGGTACATTGTCTTCTTGGAATAGGCTTCTCAAATAAGGACTGAAATGTTACACAATAAAAGTGATAATTCATGATAACTTATTGATAATGCATTCACTTGCAGCGATCTTTTGGTGCCAGTAAGATGTTAGTCTTGCGGGGCCAGACATGATCTTGTAACGAGAAGACACGTCTAAAGACAACCTGTTAAACCTTTGGTTTGAGTGCTGTTAACAAGTATACTTCTCCTCTAAAACCAGCCCCGAATCCTTCTAAGCCAAACTTTTCTAACGTCCAGAATACAATCGATAACATAAGTAAAACAAGCTATCTAGAGAAACACTCAAATACTATTAGCTTATATTCATTCTTCAAAATGAACATTTTGGAAATGCCCTCCAATTAAGTTTTGTCAGAGTTGTCTGTTCAGTGAAGCCCCTTCAAATCAGAAGCATAGCCAAGGGGTGGCAGGGGTGGCAGGGGTGGCTGGAATAAAGCATGGCCACCTTTGTGGCGGCCCCCAGTTATGGAAAGTGAGATAGTCAACCATCATCGATACAGCATCTATTATGCCTTATGGTGAAAATCTGCCATCAGTGCAGTTACCAACCAGTTACCAATCAGAGTCTGATGATGCTGCTTTCAATAATTAGAGTATCTTGCAGCGAAGGTCTAATTTACTCAAAAAACAGGAGTGTGAATGTGCACTGGGTCCCTTCACCAGTGCTGCTCTAATGATGTAGGCTATTCGATAGTAAGATGAGTTAACTACCCTGACAGCAAGAGGACAGTGGACCACTGTCGGCCCACTGATGGCAAATCTGGTGGTCCACTGGGTGGTCCACTGGGCGGTCCGCCAGTGGTTAAGCACAGTATTAAACAAAATTCCTCTTATCTTCACTCATTTTTCACTCACAGCTCAATTTACTGATTTCTCCTTCCTTCTTTTCTTTAGTTATACTTTGTAAATTAGTTAAGTAAATAGTTTTAATCTAGAACAGGGTCAGCAACAACACTTTCCATAAAAATCATTTAATATCTGGCCTAGTCGTGTTTTTTTTCTCTCTCATTTGTTTGTAATAATTGTAAGTTTTTTTTCCAAAATAAAAGTCTGTGTGCATTTAAAATCTGTTTGGGGAGATTAAAAACTAGTTAAAACTTGTATGCAGGACAGTAATCTGGGTGGTCCGAGGGTGGACCAGCAGTGGCAAACAGTCAGTGGGGTGCCGACCTTATCAAGCCAGCAGACCGATATATGCTCGCTATCAGGGTATTATCATTGATCATGCTGGATAATTTCCTTTTACAGTTGAATACACGTGTTACCTTATACAGTGCAGTCTGGCTAGCTTTCTTATCATTAGACTCATGTATACCCTGTAGAGAGGGCAGCCTAAAGGGATAACTTTCATGGCCTATCTATATGTTTATAGACCTGTCTATGAACATTTTTAAAAAAGTGGTACATTGAATTTACTTGACTTAAAGACATAATTTAATCATGGATTATTAAAATATGTTACATCAATATGGTTTTATTTTTCAGTTTACTTTCAGCAATAGTTGTATGATGTAATGTTTTATTTATGTGGAAATGGTGGACAGATTTAGTTACGTACAGAGAAAAAGCAACATATTAATTTATATTTTAATACAGTATAACTATATTTTTTTAATTGATTTGTTTTTTTAATTGATTTATTCATTATCTTAGCAGTGTCACCCCAATAAAATCTCTAGGTCTTACCTGGCCACCCCATCCTAAAAGTTCTAGCTACACCCCTGCTTGTTTGAAGACATTAACTCAGCAGAAAAAGACGCCTTGGCTTGTTTGCCAAGAGGGTATTGTAAACGTTTAGTCTATCGTGCCTGGCCATCTTTTTACAACTTGATGTTTAAAACACAAATATTGGTCTTGTTGTATAATGTATACGTCCATTACTGTCCAGAATGGAAGAACAAGTTTGTGTTTTAAATGCTAAGGGGACGCCAGTGCAGAAATGGATGATAAAATAGCTTCAGGCGATTTCAACACTGTATTTGGAAAACCATAAACAATCATCGGCCAAGACAGATGGAGACACACACTTCAGACCAGCTTATTCTGTCAGCGGCTCATTGGAGTAGTGAAGTCAACACAGTTGCTCAGTAGTGATTATGCGTATTTCTGTATTTTCAGCATTATTGTTGTTTGCTTGCTTTCGCATGCTGCATAAGTGAATACAATTACAAGCATTCATTTTTTTTACGAAAAAAAAAACAGGCCACAAACAGCTGCTGGTAATCTATTATCAACGTTTATTAGTTGCCCAGTGATTTCATTGAAAGCTGTTGTATAATCTATTTTTTTCTTTTTCCCCTGCAAGAGGTAATGTCTATTTTCACCACATTATGTGTTCTCCACACACACAATACACATTCTTGTGTATGTGTGTGGGGGGCAGAGTTCAGCTATGCTAACTTACATTACAGAGATGGGCTAACTGAAGGCTTGTTGTCCATCAGACATTGTTAATGAGCGTACAATTGCCCCCTACTTTTAGGTGTTGGATGGGTTTAGAAATTTGACTCGCAGTTTCTCTATGCTAATAAGTGTCCGTTCCCACCCACATTTAGCCTAGAATTTCTCACAGTTGTCCCCAGACATTCTTGGTACCCTGACTGGTTTGACGAGACTGGTAAGTTATTAGCAATGTTGCTCATTTCTGACCATTTTAGAACGCATAGCTTGTTTTATTGTCCCTTTTGGAAAACGAGTGCCGCTGAGGGCACTTCGTTCATCTTGCCAGGTTGCTAAAGATACTGTGAAGGTCATGCTGTTAAGTGATATGTGACTGCCGGTGGTAGCTTTAGTCCAACAGGATGTGTCACTTCCTCACACACACACACAGACACACACACACACACATACAAGAACACACACGATGGAAAATGGAGATGCAGAAGTAAACAGCCCACAGCTGACATGTGCTTCTGCCTGTGGGAACAGCACAGGAAGAAGCTTCAGATTTGGTGCTGCCACACACTCTTGCTGACACCAGAATTCAACCCTATGTGTGCGTGTGTAAGTACGAGCATGTGTGCGCCCCTCTGAGTGCATTTGCAAATATTTTTGTGTGAAATTACAATCAATTTTAGAGTTTGCTACAAGCCGAGCATCTGGTTGTTGTGATCCCTCCGCATTGGTTCCATATGCGGTAATGA